AGGATGAGGAATCCGGCAAGTCAGGAGGAAGAAGGGTAAGGGAGACGATAATGAAACGGGAGCAGGAAAAGACCAGCACGAGGCATTGTTTCACGGAGGCAATAACCACAAGAACAAGCGGGAAAGAGGTGAGGGGGGGGGGGGAAACACGGCGAGGAAATGTTGCATCAGGGGTGTGTGTGCTCTATGAGATAGGAAGGAGACAAGTAAGTACTCCGGAGTACGGTACAGTTGACAGCAGACGAAGTACGGCCAAACGATGTTTAGAATCCGAGCAAGCTACAAAGGGAGAAATCATTGTTTCGGTGGTATCTTGTTATTAGAGTACCACCAGCGGTTGAAAACAATCCTATCCCAGGCGCTGTTCCTATCACGTTGGACCATGTACTGCTGAGTGCACTGCAGATATCTGTGTGGAGACCTAAGCCAGGCTCACAAATAGTGCTCAAGTTCTCATGTTTGGTCCATGCGAAGCATGAAATGTTGGCTGCCAAGCACGGGTGCTATCTGTGTTTGCAAAACAAAAAGGAGCACAACAGAAACAAGCGAAGAAATAGACCTTCGTACCTGTTAAGTTCTCCACCTCTCTGTACCGCTGCAGAACCATGAGCTGAGGGACAATCGCGAATGGTTCCAGCACCTCCGAAAATGTCCAAAAGTACTGGCAAAACCCGCCAGTCCGAACGGGGACAAAACAGACGACAAGAACGAGGTTCAGCGGAAAGCGAACAGATAACCGAAGCTCCCAGGGTCTCCAACGACACATCGAAAAGGCCCAACAATTGATATGAGTGTGGCACAATAGCCCAGTCCGTGCGACTGCGCCGAGACCAGACTGGAATTGACGCCCAACGCAAGAAGGTTCCGAGGTTCTCTAACACAACCGCAGGGGTGACACAAATGAAACGTCACGTCAGCACCAACTCTGGAACGAACGCATCGAGCATCGAGAAAGAGGCGACCACTACACACGTTCACTCTCACACCAGTGAACCAACCAACTGTGGCGACATAAATCGGGTACAGAAATCACGAACCAAGTCCAAATACGCAATGATCGTGTTCCAGCGAAACATCGCAACGCGCAGTTGGTCGTTTCGTAAATGTTGTTTGTCCATTATATATCTTGTAAAGCATCTTCGGACGTGAGCTTTCTGCCAGAAAAAGCAGATCCCGGGTCGGCGTTGAACAGCTACATAACAGAGGGGCGGACATCCTTGATGGATTTGACAGCATCGTCGTGGTCATCACCAGCAGTTGGTGGCGGTGCTCTGAACGGCCATCGAAAATAACCGCACCCAAAAGAAGTCCGGTAATTGTGCTGCTGTGTGTCGACCCATTACAAAAACACATTTGTGTATGTATCATAGGTTCACCTACCTACACCTCTTCGTGCTCAGGTGGACACCGCTCGAACATATACATCTGTCCTCTGTCAGTCGCGATAGAGCTGCTTCGATCATTCCGAATAAACATCTAACTTTCGTCTCATGCCGAAAAAAAACGCCGCAAACAAGCACACTCTTCCTCTTCTCACATTGATGAAGGAGAAGGACGGCTTCGATTCAGTCCACCAGCTCCAGGAATGGATAAGCAGCGCCAGCACCGCGCATGGTGCCACCGCAAACTGCCAGTGTAGGAACGAATCCTGAATCAACGATGCACAGAAAGGTCAATATTGCAGGCCATTAACCACCAAGGGACGTGCAAGATTGATCAAAAAGAAAAGGGGGTGACAGGAGACGACAAAGAACGAAGGTCACATTCCACAACAAAACAAATAGCAAAGAACGAAAGTCATACTCGACAAAGAAACAAATTACCGTGGGAGATGGAGAGATGGACCGGTCGGGAAGACGGCACCGAGGTGCGTGCAAACAACACCGCCGTAAACCATAAAGCCGCTGTGTACATTTTTTTGGGCATCGCACCGCTCGGAGAGACCGGAACGGGGAGCCTTGAATAAAGCAAGACAAATTACGTTATACATAGTAGCGTTACCGCACATAGGCCGGAGAGTTCGCGCCGGGGTGCGACAAAGAACACCAAGAAAACACAGCAAAAAACGACCGCACCAGGCGCCATCCCCGCGACTGTTACGGTATGCTACCCAATATTTAGGGGTCCGTTCACCCTGAATTTAATTTCCATGAATACAGACGGAATCTAAGCAGCCAATCAGATGCTCTTACATCCCTTCTTCGAGTTCTCCTGGGCTCCCTGACACGCACACGTGTCCAACGATTTTGAAACACTTCTTGTGTGCGCGACACACCCACCACAGCTACGTACCACGACAGTGCAAGCATCTCGAGCTTGGCCATGGATTGATCACGTGCCAACTCTCGCGCAGCACAATGAGTAAGGCGCACCTGCGACTTGTCGTAGGTCGCCTTGGTGGGAACGTGCTCTCGAATCATGTAGATGATGAGGCTGGTGAGAGTGATGTAGAGCACCTTCATGATGCTGTTTGGTGGCGTATCGTACCGACCAGAAGAAGGGGACATGGATGAAAATAACATGGGAATAAGTTCGAAACCCAGCACAAGAGGTAGGTGGGTAGGGGAGACAGACGCACGAGAAAACAAAGACAAACAAGCCAAGAGTGAAGCTAGAAGACAACAAACAAAAAAAAACGGGTTGCAGCAGAGCGGGGTCCACGAAGCAACATTGCTGTACAACGGCAACCAAACGATGTATGTACGCACACAATTAGCGTTCCCCTCAAGGGGTCCCATGCCCGTTAGAACCATTTTGGTGTATTCAACCGCACTGAGACTGGCGTCATTTCATTCGTTAGCGCGGTCGATGCTGGCATTAAAACACATGCATCGAACCCACCAAACGCTCCGCGATGTACACAAGACCGCCCTCCCCCCGCCCTCCCCAAAAATAGCCAATCCGGCGCAACCACCATCACGTCCAGCTAGAGAAAGACGAGAACCCCACTCGCCTGTTGTACCAGCTAATGAACCTGAAGAAGAGGTCAACATATCGGGTCAAGAACACTACGAGAAAAAGCTCCTGCGTCTTCAGCGAGATCCCTTGGAGGTTCCACGTGATCCAGAGGAACGGGGGAGGAGGCGAGCGGGAGGAGGGGGGAGGGGGTGAGCAAGGAACAAGCCGAACAACTACACTCACTCCTGAATCTCGACGGCAGCAGGGGTAACTCTGATGATCGACCCCATTTTGCGGCAGCCCGCGCAACATGCACACAGCCGTAGGGAAAAGGTATCTAGATGAAGTAGCAAGGCAGCATGAGCATTAGCAGCAGCAGTAGGGAGAACAAAATAGGAGGCGACAGAGACGTCGCCGTCGACCGAGAAGGAGGACAGAGGGCTGTTTCGAGGGTTGCCTCAATTTGACAAAAATACAGATACCAGATATGCAGATGCGAATCCTTTTGGTGCTCACTGCAGACGAGAATTAAGTGGGCCTACATAGTACCGTGGGTGACACAAGGTAACACACAACCCTGGACCGATTTTCAAAGCCGGTTTGCTCCATCCAAGCCGGATCAAGTGGCGGTGCCGCAATTGGCGGCGTTGGAACCGCCTTGTCCAGAGCTTGCCGAAAGAATGTCAGTTGACTCATACCTCTCTTCGTCGTGGAGTAATCGAACGTTCAAAGTTAGCCCGGAGGTGTGCGATACCTTCGTTACGTACGGTAGTGGCGGCCAATGGATACCCGCCACGTCCAATATACCTCGAGGAGGTAAATTTTTCTTGGTACTCAAGAGCTTCCCGCCGTATATTGTAACTGTTCGGTGAGCCAATACACCAGTGGTGAATAGTGCTGAAGGGTTGGACAGCAGCATTCGTATCAGATGCGCTACCTACATGCAACAGCTGCGTACGGCGAAGAGATGATTCCCGGTTCGACGGACATGGTGGCAGAAATCCCCTTGTGGTCGTCGAGCGCGGCGAGAAAGGATCATGCGATTTACGTTAGACTCGTCAGACTCTGTTCCCCTAGTTTCTATTCCTTTTAGCGAAGACAGCCGCCTACAACACCAGCAGCCGTCCACGACACAATTCCAACGCCGCCATTTTCGTCACCGCGGTCTGCCGTTCTTGCTGCAGAGGGTGTTCGAGGTTGGCAATTAGAAATCGGCCAAGAGGGGTGTGGTACCTTAGGCAACACAACGTCATGGTACTGCTGTAGACGAAGGGGATACTATTGGTTCTCATACGGCGTAAAGAGCGGCAACCACGCGCAAAACAGGAAAAGAAGGCGACAGGTATGCTAGAGTGGACGGGAGCGGTTGCCCGGCTGTGTAGGCGTTGAAATATGTCCAAGGGACCGATCGCCTGCCTATCCCACCCACGTTTCGCCCTGCGGTGCAGGTTTCACCGCAAGGGCCGTTTTTTCTTTCTTTCGGTTGCGGGAAAAAGTGGGGTGTGGTTGGCCTCCTGTGGATCACAGCCTCTGCTTGGCAGGAAAGAGTCCGACCCGACTGCTGCATGCTGGGAGACAAGAGGGGTGCAGCTTTAGCGCGCGCTGTCCCTCAGTGCAAGACCACCCCCTTTGTTTTGCCAGGATGCCGGTGTTCGTTGACGAGAACATGGCCCCGACATCATCCGACATCCACACACGACAGTAGGCAACAAATTTCGCTCTGCAGCTGAACCGACCTAAGGAGTAGCGCCTCTCGATTCCGCATGCTAGACAGATGCTCGGCCTCGGTGTCTACTTCGGCACACCCCACAGTCACTCTCAAACCGCCGTGTGTGCAATAAAGTCGACGTCTCGTCTCCGCTCTTGGATTAGCGGAACAACGGTTTCGCGCAGTCACGCTCTCCGTAGCACTCTACAGGCTACATATCTCCTGCCGTTCTGTACCAAGTGGTTGCACTCCTCACCTGCGGCGCTCTTTGACGCCCTCAGCTTGAGCAGCAGCATCAAGATGCTGGCGGTGTGCGACATGTCGCCGGCCAGCCGGAAGATGTTCATCTTGTCGGCTGCTGGCTGCTGATCTTACAGCTCGCAGCAGGACAGGAGCGGTGCCACCACTCTCACGCGCAACCCCAAAGAACAAAGGCTTTGCACTCCGGCCGGGACCCACTTGCCTCACGCGGACAGAGCAACCGGCCCCCCGACACCCCGCCACAGACCTCCTGCTGAGCGTTGCTCTCTCTCGGTAAGGCCCTCCAGCGTCCGCCGATATCGTTCCTCGCGTTTGCGCCAAGCGGAGCCCTGCGGGCCCACCGCGCGCGCGTAAAAAACTTGGGAGTTCGAATCATGTAGCATGCTTGCATCTCGCGTACGTCCAGAGCACCCGACTGCTCAGAGTTTCGCCATCATTACCCGCCAGAGCCCGCGCGAACAGAAGGCAAAAGCTTTTCGGGTTGCATTTCGGAGCGGAAGGATGGCTTCGCTCGCTTCTTTCTCCAGGATGGGGGCACGGGTGGCTTCCGCCGCTGCCCGTACTGCGCCCCGCACGGCGAAGCAGGTGCGATTTTGACTGCCTGCTTGCTTGTGTTCGTCTTGTCAGTCCGAAGAGCAGATGTCTCCTACACACACACTAACGGCGGTGGGTGTGTAGGTGGGTTCGATTTTTTCTCAGGTGCGGCCGCGTGGGGCACTTGCGTCCCCGGTGTGCGGCAGTAGGCGTGGCGTTGTTGTTGCCCAACGCACCGGCGATGCTCCACGCGCCGGCCGTCTTGTGTGCACTCTGCCGCATTGTGCACTCGCGAGTCTGGTTGCAAACACGATGTTCTGTCTCTTGCCAAAGCGCACCACACAAGAGAGAGGAGGTCGAAAGGGGCTGTCACAAGGGAAGGCAGGGCACACCGCGGTACCGGCCACTGGATCGAGAACAGCTCGCAGCTTCCTGTTGTCTTGCCTCATCTACGGATTCATTCATCCCTCGAGGTGGTGCAGTCGCTTATGCACTCCGGAAGCCCCACGGCACGGGTGGGGTTGTGTGTGTGTGGTCGGCGTCGTGTCCGGCAAACGCGTTTTTGCGGCACGGAAGCGAGGAAGAGAGGGAAAGCCGTAGGGTTTGTTCGGGCCCGCAGCCGCTGCACAATAGCGAGTAAATACCGAAGCAAACCTGGCGCTATCACATCAATTGCTTCGCTTTGCTACTTGCCGCACCGATTCCCCCGAGATCGTGGTGTGAGCCTTCTATGTTCGTCGCGTGGACGGATAAAAAAGCAGAGAGCTGCCGTCCCTAAAAATCGCAACGCGCCCCGCTGGTTTTCCTGGCGCGGTCCATGGCGCTACTTGTTCGCTTTCGAGTGCACAACACGAGTGCTGCTGCCCTGAAACTGCAGCACCTTTGCAGGGGGGGCACGCAAACTCAGACACCAAGTCAGCCAAGCTTTCGTCCGCGATGCGCAACCTCAATTTATGTGTTGTGTTCGGCATGTATTGCACACCATGTACTCCGGAGGCGCAGCTATACAAACCATCTGTGCAAAAAGAACAAGGGAGTTTTTGGGGCGTGCTGCTCCCCGACCTGAGAGTAAATGTCATGCACTGCTTCCTGTCCTTGCTGCCGAAGTCCCCAGCGTGCCCAATCACTTTGTTGGGTCTGCCTCAAGCGCGTGGTTCATGCTCCCCACACGCCAGTCTTCTAACAGCATCACACCACTCTGTGAGAGTTGTACTGCTTTAATTATGCACTACTGCTGCTGTAGAATCCATGATGCAAGAACCATCTGCATCCTCTTTGCCCACATCCCTCCCCCACGGCCCGGATATTGGCACGGCTACGGTAAGCTATCCCAGACGGGTGAAAATGTATTCCTTGTTTCAGGGCTACTCTCTCGCTCTTGCCATCCCTTTCTTTCTTCCTCTCCGTCCGTCTCTCTCCACTCCCTATTGCCCCGTGGGCCTAATCCCTGGTACAACAAGTTACACTAGTTTCGTTCCCGCTGCTGCTGCTGCTGCTGTGTACGCGCAGGCTGTGCAGGCGAGCGCCGCGCGGAGCTTCTCCGTGGCTAGCCAGGTGGGTGAAGGACACATCACGGCGGGAGCAGTACCGTAGGGTGCAGGCTGTTAGTTCTTCGGCTGTCCCTTCGAATGGGCGGAGCCATGACCTTAAGGAACGTAGTACGTGGACGGTGTGGTTGTTGGTGTAGGTGACGACAGCGGAGTACACGGCATTAGTAGAAACGGCGAAGTGTTTCATGCTTGCGGTGCACAGCATTGCGCACACCTTACTCTATACCCTCGGTGATGTGTGCACGGCGTCTGACCTCAGGCACAGGAGTTGCAGTTGTTGTTCTTGTGCATGACGTTATTTCAAGAGGGTATTGCTGAAGGCAGAAATGGCATGGACAATATCGTGGTCTTGGGGACTGATGCCTCCTCGGTGGTCCTCGTTTGGTGCAGATTCCTAGGAGTTCGACCTTTTGAGGCGTTCACAAGCATTGCCCGTTGACTCTGTTGACCAGGGTTGCCCGCAAGAGAGAGCGCTGTCATTCCCTTCTGTTACCCCAGCTGTTCAGGTCCGCCCGTTCCTCTGGGTCGAGGTAGTTGGACCCAACACGTTTGTGGTGGTTGTGGTTGGAACTAGCTGCGATTGGAACTGATATTTGTTCCAATCGCAACTACGACAAGCTTGCTGGGTTCACCCACGACGATCCAAGGTAACGGACGGACGTTTGCATACAACCGCGCAATACTAACTGGGGTGAGGGAGGGGATTTCAGCGCTATCCCTTCTTCCTGCAGCTGTGGAGAATCAAGGACGGCAAAGTTGACCAGCCTCGACTGCTTCATGGCTGCAGAACAGGGTATGCATCGGGATTTATTATACGACAGCATTGCTGTTAGGACATACACGGAAGTTCGAGCACTTTCAAAGCTCTGCGTTGGAATGGCGCCGGTATTGTCCACGTCTTACAGCAGTTGTCGTATGATAAATCATCGCTAGTTTACCCAATCGGGGGTGTGACCGCGTGTGCAAGATTCGCGGTGTCTGGTGTCCTACGCCTTTCACTTGATAATTCGAGCCATGGCTTGACGTAAATAAGGTTCTATATCTGATACATTGCATCTGTCGGAATACACGGACGATAAAAGCTCATGGCTGCCTGTACCCAAAGCCCTATACTCAGCACCAATCCTTTCAATCCACGAAGGACGCCGTTATTCGGGGGCGAATTATATCTGTCGACGGTCCTCTTCCGTGCTCGTCACACCCCAAAACACGCCTCCTTGGGAAACGCCTTCACCTGTCCATGTGTTCCGTGCTCGTCACACCCAAAACCCTCTTCCTGTTGTGTGAAGTTGAATATATCCCTCAACCCGTCACACTCAAAACGCCCCCCCCCCCCCCCCCCCCCCCCCCCCCCCCCCCCCCCCCCCCCCCCCCCCCCCCCCCCCCC